TCTAACGTTGCCGGTTACGTTTCGAGATTTCGTGAAACGCGCGTGGAATTGCACGCGGACGAAGATGGCCGATTTTCGTGGCCGGCGATTAGCCGTGAAAACGCGATGATACCCGTCACCACCGTACACGCGTACCGTATGTATGTATTCCCTTGGTCGGTTCTCGCCGAACGCGGGGAGGACCCATTCGTCCCCTGTGCTCTCTGCTGGTGTATCAAGTGCCGAGATACGAAAACCGCTGTACTGGCAGCCGAGATATGCACGGTTTTCGTTACCGTTGCGTCGTTCGAGCTATCGGGTATCGAAGCAAACGCTTTCTATTAATAACGCAGCTCGTTATAAATAAACGTCGCGATAACCGATATTTAGCTCGAGATCGTTCTTCTCGCCATTCCTCCCATCGATTCCCCCATTCCGCCAACCCTTTTGGTCCCTTTTCCCTTTCCTTCTCTCGCTCTTCAACCTTCTCTCTTTTCGCCTTTCCTTTCGTCGTCGGAGTGCTAATTACGGAGATAACGTCCGCCATTGGTACGCTGGTGTTTTACCCTTTTTTCCCCTGTTTTTCGAATTTCGACGCGATCGGTTTTCGGGGCACGAAACCGTTCGCTGGTCGTCTCACCGTCAAGCAGAAATTGACGAGATTTAAGTTAGGAACCGGTAAAACGTATCGAGAAAGAGGGACAAAGAAGAGAAGCGGAATGAAAAGGGAAGGTACGGTGAAGTAAGAGAAAGAGGGAGAAGGAAGGAGAGAGAGAAAGAATGAATATATATTAGGTGGGTTGCGCGACGACCTCCGGATAGCTCTCCTAAGCTTGCTCTCGCTCGCTGAGCCTCACCTACCTGGCAGTTTTCGTTGTAGGCAACAGCAGGGAAGATGGTGGGACGGGAGGGAGGAGGTAGGAGCACTAAGGAGACCTTGAAGGCTTGCTAGCCGGGTGCCGGCTAGTACTGACCCACTATAAAGGCACTTGCCATCCTGCTCGTTCAACAGGACAATCTACTATTACTCTCTCCCTCGGGAGAGCCTGCTAACCTACTCTCTTGCCCACATACACCGACTCGATCCGAAAACTCGCTTCTAGACCCTGGCTACGCTTAGCTCCGACAGCTTCTTTCTCTCTCCCTCCCTCTATCTCGCCTCTTCCTCTCCTTTTTCACCGTTGCTCCCTCTCTCTCTCTCTCTCTCCTTCTCGCTCTCCCGTTCTCTCTTTCACTTTGTCGTCCCTCGTACGCTGCCTTCCCTATCTCATTTCCACTCCCTCTTTTCTGCTCCCTTCTCGCTGCCGTTCTAATGCACTACCACCACTGCTACAAGCCCCCGTGTTCTCGCTATTTCGCTTCCTCTCGCTCCCTCTCTTTCTCCTTTTTTCTAGTTCGCTCTCTCTACTCCCTCGTGCGCGAGTGTGTGAGTCGCACCAACACAAGCGGCGCGAACCCCTGAAAAATCTGTGTGTGACTGGGTAAGACGCGCGCGTACCCTTCTCCGTGTATGCGAGTGCTCGTTGCGTGTGTCTCTCTTATGCATGAATTTCATCGGTGCTTAGAAAGAAGGAGAGAGGCTCGAGCGTGTATCGTGTGCTAGTATGCGTGTGTTTGTAGGGAGTACCACCTAGCATAGCAACTGCTGTTTCTGCATTTCTTAGCAGCGCGCCCCATGCGAGATGCCGGTATATTTTAGGCATATAACGGGTGTCCCGTTTTCGAAACCGATCCCTCCGCGCTTTCCTTCGTCGATCGCTCGTCGCTCGTCGCTCGCCGGTTACCCGATAACGCGCTCTACCACCCCGGCTAGCCGATCCTAACTCCTCGCTTCGCGATCATGCCCGCTAAATCTAGTCCGTGCCGCTGGCAGGTCCGCCGAGAAATCAGATACGCGGAATTTTTCCCGTGTCGCGGCCATTTTTCTAATTTCTCAATTTTACGCTTCGAACGTTCCCAACGTTCCGCGAACGATACGCCGTGTAATTCGAAACGAGCTCTAAAACGTAAGATTTACGCGGCATGGCGTGGATTTTCTAAACCAGATGATAATTAGCGAGGCGAAAGTTGCGAGAAATTAGTATCTCGAAAATAACCTACTTAATTAACGCGACGCGTAATTAACGAGTGCGTGGAAAAAAATTAAGGTCATACGCATAGCATTAACGCGAACGGCTATATAAAAATACCGCTCCGTTCGCGGATATCCGAGATCGTGATTCTCGTAAAGTTTTCATAGGCTCGTGATCATTACGGTTTGAGAGGTACGTTAAAGTTATTAAAGCGAGAGACGACTTTGTATAGGCCGTCGTAATAGTCTCCTAAATGGCAAACACGTGAAATCGAGCGTAAAAGCACACGTTGAATTTAACGTGGCATAAGAATCAAATTAAAACCTCGTCAAGCTCTAACCTCCCCTCTTTTTCCTTCTCACCTTGTCGCGAATTGGCTTTCGCATGAAACCTGTTGGTACTCGGCCCGAGCACTGGTGCATAGAAACACTTACGAATATTATTGCTACAGGGCGAGATGAACCGTACGAGGGGAGACTTGACACGGGACCATACTAAGTAGCCATTTAAGAGCTACTTCCTCCTTTTCAATTTTCCCCGTCTCTATCTACCTCTTTTCACTTTCGAGTACTCCTAGAAGATACCGTAGCGCCATCTTCCTCTCCTCGCCGTTTTACGTTTAATACGCGCATTTTTAATTCGTTCCAATTCCCAAGCTAGTCCGCCCGGTAGGTTATATTATATACCCTCATTGTACCGAGCATTCTGCTGCATTTAATAGACTCCTCGCGAACAATTCCGCCACTCGCCACACGCCATTGTACCCCGCAACAGAGATCTACCCGGTTTTTCTGAAGCAGACTCGGCTCATTCAAAAAAATACCACTCCGCGCACGAAAATCCGAAGCGCCGAGATCGTTATCGATGTCCGTCGACGATCTTGCGACGAGCATCGAGAAGCCTGCGTGCCTGCATACTTCTGTCGCAAACCGACTGTAACTAATTCACGTGAACGCGAACCTCTTCTTCGTCCAACCACTTCTACATTTATATCGAAATTTATTATCGAACCGAACGATTCCCTCTAACCTACAAACTGTGCGTAACGCGACCGAGAAATTTCTTCGCGTACGTATACGTCCCTGCCGCTGCCGCTATGCTATCGTATTTTACGCGATTTCATTTGTATTTCGATACGTAGTATATACGCGTATAACGCACGGGATAACGCGTGTCGTCGTTTCGAATCCGATCTAAACGCGAGTATTTCGCACAGAAGTACGCTCTTACGCTTATTTCTAGATTATTTCTAGATTAACCACGTTCGCGTTTTCACTTACCCTCGTCTGTAGTCCATCTTGAAATCTGTTCCTTTCCTTCGCTGCCATCTTTGAAATCTGTCCGCCGTCTTTTCCCTTCAATTTTTACGTCTTTCACTTTCACCTCCTTTCACTTCTCCACGCTGATAACGATCGCGCGTACGATTCGATTTCACGTACATCCGAAATGTCCGAGTATCAACAATCGCGAACGCGAACACGAACACGAACACGTTAACGAGTATTTACTTCCCGAATTCGCGTTCGTTTTCTTCCAAACGATTTTTCACGCGTCACTAATGCGTCCACTAATGCGTCACGTGATCCTATCCGTAACCGCTAAAACTATCGCCAGAGGCAGCACTTATCGAATTACTGTTCGTAAAGGGAATGCACTTTAAGAGGTTACGACGAATGGAAAAATAAAATTAAACCAACAGTTTTAATATGTTACCCGTCGATACGACCGACAGAGGTGTATACGACGAACAGAGGCATATATGACGTACAGAAGCATATACGACGGATAGAGGCATATACGACGAACAGAGGTATATATATATACGACGAACAAAGGCATATACGACGAACAGAGGTCGATCTTGTGTAGTAGGAGTCGCGTCTCTCACTGACCACGTTGTGTTTACATCCTTACGGTGACCTTGTTTGGCGAAATATCCGAAGGGTATCTCTGTTCTCGTCGAGCTGTATTAAACACCGAGAAAGGACGTCCTTTTGAACGATCCGAACGCGCTGAATCACCTTCTGCCACACGAATTCGTCAAACGTTTACAACCTATTATTTAATTGCGACGTATTCTAACAACACATGCGCGCGCACTCGCTAGGGACAGACAGAGCGCGCATAGCGAATAATTGCCGCCTAATTTAAACCGTCTAAACGATACGTTTATAAAAATATTCGTTTCTCGTACGAGTAACGTTGAATCTCGCACACCACGAATAAAGACGGTCATTTTGGGCTGACGATAAAAGTGGTTTCGTTTATTTCTTTTTTTTTTTTTTTCACAATACTTTTAGAAAGAAAGAGAGAGAGGACGAGAGAGAGAAAGAGGAACTGGTTAGAGAAAATTAGATGGGTCTAACTGGCAGAAGACACCTGGCGCCTAGGAAAGGAAATACTCGTGTATACGTGCACGTGTGTATACGTATTCGGACCCTCGAACCGTGTCGAAAAATTCGCTAGCTCGAGACTATGACCACGGATACGTTCACATAACCTCTTGATCCTGATTAGAATACGAGTAGGTACGCGATAGTTTTAGATCAGTGCAGCGATTTTTCTGCCGTTAGACGTTGTACACGTGCAAATCAAAACCCGGAAGCAACCGCCGAGTTCCACTTTTCGAAACCGGTGTTCGGTATATTTTTCCATGAGAAAATCTTCCATCGGTTGCCCTGGCCAGGGTCAGAGTTCAAACGAACCATAGCTTCAAACAGGTTGCCCATACTGACCCAATAAACCAATTCTCCTATTTACTCGACGACTATGAGAATATTCTACCGTTACTATTAATTTGCTCGCGTCGTTTCAGAGTTTCTATTTTCTTCCTTCCTGAAAACATTCTGCTTACTGAAAGTATACCTCTTTGAAATAACACGGTATCGTTAGATAGCCTTATTTATGTATAAATAATTTTGAAGAATTTGTTTCTCTTCTCTGTTTCAGGGTTCACGTATATGGGATCTACACTCGTTGTGGAACCCTCTGTGGCTAGTGGACCCAAGAAACGGTAAGTCTGGAATATTTGAATTACGAAAATTCGTACGATTACGAAAACCCAGTAAAACGCGAGCATCCTTGCTCGATCGAAAGACTATTCTCGATGGAACATCTTCGCGATAAGATTTGATTTGTATGCATAACGCATCGCGTTACTTTGCATGCAAATGCATAGCTGTTAAATAAATTAGCCATGAAGCGTCTTACTGCGGTTGTAATTAAAACTTACTCGACCGGCGGATATTGTTAACCGCCGTTCTTTAAACGGCCATAAATTTGCCGAGCGTGCAGGAAACGCCTGCCGAATTACACTTTGCTTACACGTGTATTATATATTAAATATTTCGAAAAAGTTATCCAACTCGTCGGGACCCGGCTACCGTGCTGAAAGCGCCGAACAAACTTGTTCTTACGTGCTAATAGTCCATTTGTCTTCGAAAAATTTTATGTAATCGCTTACACAAACTTCAGTAGGGGTTATTAACCCTAGGCAATTTCTCGATCAAAAGAGAGATCACGCGTAATGCCGGCATAACGAGGTGCATAATTGGCCGCACGCGAGTAAATGCGCGCGAGCGCATACACGAGAGTTTGAACTCGTGCCGAACGTGTCCAAGCAAAAATCGTCGAGGATTATCCGCAGTGGAACTCATCCTCGTCATAGAATTTCGAATAATTGTCGGACACCGTCAAAGGCATCGCTCGCGCCCGTTAACTTTGCAAAACAAAAATGACCAATTATCTTGCTCGAAGTTCGCAGGAGTAAACGCCTTAACTTGCCCGAAAACTTCGTTAGCGATTGTTATGCAAATCTCCGCGAGGCACTTTTTCCACGGTGTTTATACAACACGCTCGGTGTAGTAAATGTAGTTGGATTTGGCGATAGTATCGTTGTATATATGTACACGCATGCGAAGTCTGTAGAACACGAATTACATTTGCACCGTTTTTTCGCATGCTGCCACGTGTATCGCACACATGGATCGCTGGTACGTATTATCACTATTATATGCAGATCGCACGTATCGACGCGCGATAACAATAATTTCCTCAATGAAAATGTACGCTGATAAATCCTTATTTACGATAGAAATTTTTCAAATTAAACCCTCCTTATATCTCGTTACATTTTTATCATCGGCCGACATCGCTCAATGAACATTCTTAAATTATCGCGTTTTTACGTAGATGTCGCTTTATCTCTGGCACAGCGAGGATTTACGTTAATTTATCTCGGTAAACCGTGTTATATTTTATCGATGCTCGATCGGCGTCGGCTATTTTCGACGGCGGATATCTTTCTTTCCCGAAAACTTTCTACTTTGAAATTCGATTAGAAACGTTTGGGAGCCTCTGCACACCGAGGCAGCCTCCTTCTCGATGGTGAAGCAGGCGTTCGAAAAAAATGTGGCACCTGCCTTCTCCTTACGAGCCCGGAGCTGAGCCCAGGCTGCTCGCTCGTGCCACAACTGCAATCTGTTATTTCACCATCCCCCAACCTCGTTCCTTTCTCTGTTTCTCTTCTCGGTTACTCGTACCACCGATTCCTCTTGCCACGAGCAACCTTATCGACGATAGGAACGTGCAAAGATATAAACCGAGAATTTGTTACTGCCCGTAATGATACTCGACATCAGATAAGAGCAATTAAATGCAACGTGCAGAGAGTGGACGGTATAACGAGCGGTACGTGCAAGCACTCTGATCCGGTTGTCTTAATGCATTAATAACGTTAAAACGAAATTGAAACTTGCCACGTCGATTACCGGAACTCGTTACTTTTTAATCAAGACACGGTGAAATTAATCGCCGAGTCACGGTCACTCGATGGCTTCGCAAGTCGAACGATCGTTAGACGTTTGAAGCTCGCGTGATCGGGAAGGTATCGGCGACAGGGTCGTGATAATTCGTAGGAACACGAAAAGGCGAATTATACGCGTCGTTTGTGGAAAAGATACAATTCGACGAGTAATCGAACGTTTCTAACGTATGCCTCGGCGATAGACTTGGAAATATCGCGTGGTGTTTTTGTTTTGGCAGCCTACAGGGCTAAAGGGTTAAATTAGGGTGTGGAACGTAACCGTTGTCGTAAATGAAATTTTGTAAACGAAATAGCTAGCATAGAGATTAGACGGGTCGGCCGACAATAGACAGATCGGTGGATTCGGAGAGACGAGTATCACTTCCGAGTTGTCCTCTCTGCGTTTGCACGAAAACTCGCGTATCAGCTTCCAGCAGCAGCGAGTGTTGGTCTCCCATTTTTGATGTTTAAAACCGATGCATGGCTAAACATTCATTTCCATATAAGCCGATATGTTTCAAATGTAAAGCGCTCTCGTATGGTGGCTACAGTGACACGAAGAAGAAAGGGCGAGAAAAGATGGAGAAAGAAAAAGGAAGACGGCCGAGAGAAACGAACTGGTACGAGCGGAAACTAGTTTAAGGTCCGAGGGTCTCACCCCTCAAGAATCCTTACAATGATTCCATGGGATCCACCGCGTTTCTGATTCTATTTCCTTTAACTGGCTCTATCGGCCTCTTTGTGTTAAGCCCGCCAATGTGTGACGTTACTCTAGCTTCGCGAGTGTGAGAACCGAACGGAAAATTCGTAACGAATCACGACAATTACAGCGCCGTGCGACTCTGTGCGTGCTGTTCCGAGTATTTCTATCGGAATTTTAACACCTATCTTCCATCTCGTTCGAAATTTCACACGGAAATTTGGAATCTCTATTGCCTCGTTTTCGCTTCCACGCTTTTCATCCGCATGCATAATTCACAACTCGCTGGATGCGTGGTCGCTTCCTCGAAACTTCCGAAGTCATGCACATGTTTAATGCGATGACGGCAAAGGCTGCGTCGGATCCGACCAAGACCACATTTCGGCGCGCGACGCATACTTGGACACGTGTACCGCGCATCGTTTGTTCGTCGCGCATATTCGCATAGGAGAAGAAGGTGTAACGTTCTATATTCTACGAGCACGTTTTCCTCGATTTCCTTTCAACGGGCCTAAGAACCACTCTCGACGTCGAAGAGACGAGGAGAGAAGAGAATATCGACGTTCTCCACCTTGCGATCCTTTACGGTTCTGGTATCAAGTGCATCTCGCTTGGTGTACGCAGTGCACGTGAACCGCACGTTTTTCCACTTGCGCGCACGGGACTGCACTTTTCCCATTTGCATAACAAGGCCGCTGCACCTCGCAGCGCGTATCAGGTCAGTCAGGTTGTACGATAGGAAGGGTGCACGGGGGTAAGTTAGACCCCTGCAGCCGGTGGTGACCCGGCTGGCTGAATGCACTTTGTTTGCATTTCCTGCACCGAAGTGCCGCCGTTTGTCTATATCACTTGTCCCCTCGATTTCATAAACCGCAAACAAATGTTCGCGTCGTCGATGCGGGGAAAGCAATAAAAACTGCCACGAGAGTTACCGAGGATGCATCTTTCTTTCCGATGCAATGCACTCTTTCTCTCCTCCTTCCACCATCGCTCGGACCGCCTCTCTCTCTCCCCCCTCCCCTCTCCCTCTCTCTCTCTCCTTGTCCTCTCTCTCTCTCTCTCTCTCTCTCCTTTCTCTCTCTTTTCTTCGAGTGAATCGTTGCACTCGGCGCGTGCCAACCTCGTGCCCTTCTCCGGTGGTGTACCCCCTCCCTCGCCGCGCCTTGCATTTAATTCTGCCTCTCCTCGTCCTCCACCCCTTTCGACTCCGCACTTTTCGCCACCACCCCACCCAACCCCGAGGATGTTGTTGATACTTTTTTTATCGGCCAAAGGGACGGCGTGCGTGCGCGATGCGTTTCCAACGCGATAGGATTATTACAAGGGACAGTTACTGCGGATTAACGCCGAGGGCCATCGGACACCGAAATAATACGTTTATCAAATTACGCAGCCCCGTCGATGTAACGGCGGCTTATTCGACGCAACGATTTTTCTCGTTAAAGCCGAACCACGCGAACCTGCAAATTAGACGCGCTGTAACCTTACGTGATATGTAATATTACGCGCAGGGGGGCACGGTGAACGTTGTATCGCAAAATTTGCCACGCGTAATATCACTTTTCGAAATCAGTACCCCCCGTCTCTTTTATTTTGCCACGCTTCGGGCAGTTCCAGTTATTTACGACCGTTCTTTTTACAAATACAGCAGACTTCGCGAATGCCTTTCGTATTCCGGGTTTTCTTCAACTGCTAATTGAAACAGCGCAGTGAATTTCTTCTTCGATACGTGCACGCCTAACGACGTAAAAATAAAATTACGCGGCGCATTGGAAATAATATTTCGACGGAATATTTGCCTCTTTTGCGAGAAAAATGGAAGCGTAAACGGAAGAACGCGAATGGGGGGCACGAGGCATGAATGGATAGTCGTAAAAACCCCGTCTGCGGGTAAAGGCGTTAATTCTTCTTCGAATTAGGCACGTTACGAGCATAGGGTGGACTCGTAATACCTTGCCTGCACTTGTTGCATCTATGTCGAATGCAACCGCCGTGCCACGCAAGCGCCGTTTGCCGAGGCAAACTTCACCGACTTTCTTCCTTCCCGAAAGCATCCCGTAAATTTACTTTCTCCGCTTCAATGCGTTTTTCCTTGATTCTTACTTTTCCCAGACATTTCTCCAAACTTTTTCCCAAAACCACGAGTCTCCTCGAGCCGGCAACGGTGATTAAGCGAAATGTACAAGTGGCTCGCGCGGAAGAAACGCCCTTCCTCGTTGGTTCCCGTCGACTTTCCAGATCGCGCACCATCGTTTGAATACGTAAACGCTTTTTTTACGCGTGACTTTCGGCTAGGATTATCGGGTAATCCTTTGTGTAACGATTCTCGGTGAATCGACGCGTATAAAGCCGGCCTAGGTAAACACGAAACTGGATTGCTGGCTCGCTGCTTTCCTTTCGCACTTCTACTTTTCGCTCGTTCCCCGTCTGCCGCGATCCTCTTTTCTGCAAGAAGCAACTACCGGTGGCGGTGGGCTTCGTATGTCGG